TTAAATCGTACAACATCCACCTTGCACAAGACACCCCCGTTAATAAACGTATATATAATACATATCGCTACTGGATACAGAAATGTAGTAACATATAGCCTATGGAAATGTAAGGTTTGGCACGTGAGAAGAGGGGAGCAGGTTCGGGCACTTGTCCCCAGGGTACACACGCTCCCACCCTGGCAGGCAGGAGGGTGCTGCCCCGGGGCACCCCGCGCTCCCCCCTCAGCGCTGCGCCAATGCTGACCCGGCCTAAAACTCAGGAGGCGGTTTCACACTCGGCCAAAGGTGAGCCAAACCCAAGCAGCTTCTCCCTTAGCTACCAGGCACTGCCTCCAGCCACGCTTCCCTCCTCTTGCATCAGCAGCAATAACGACCCGTGCTGACCCGCTGGAGCCGGCACCGCACTGCCTCGGAGCAAAGGTGGGTCCAACTCACACCGCGGGCACGTGAGCCCACGGGAGCGTCTGACACCGGCAGGAGACAGGACTGCCCATCCTGGGAGCGTCGTGGTCTTAAAATTACTTGAGACATGATATACTACACACTGCTCTGGGGCCACCCCCCTAAACCACCCCCCAATACACATTAATGACAAAACTAACAACTGGTAAAGAACCACCAAACGCACCCTGAGCCGTCAGCCAGGTCAGATCCTTGATCTTGGTGTCCCAGCAGACACGAATACAACTATCAACACAAGAAAAGAAAGAACCAGGGAGAAGAGAGTAAAAAATGGACAGTTTTGGAGGAATGTGTCTCTGCCAGGGTAAAAGAGACGATACAGCACAGCCTCAGGGTGCAAGTCTTCAGAACAGGTGAGCTTTACAGACACTTGGCAATACCTGGGAGCTCAAGGACTATGAACATTTTTATAGGCACAAAATACATCCTATTTAATAACTGTAACACGTTTGTTAAGTGCCATCAGGCAGCTCTCTATTATGTAATACCCAAAGACACACCACAAACTCAATAAAGCTATTTCTCCTGCCATACAAAGTGAAGGAAACCGAGACCAAGCTACAGAGATGTACATTCAAGACAATTATTCAAGTATCAGTTTGAGCACCCTATAATCCACAAGTTAAACCTCATATTTATGTAAATTACAATTATTTTCCTAAACTCATGTGCAGTGAGAACTCCTGCAGAGCACTTGGCACAGCGTCAATGTACACACCTGCTGGGATCAGGCAGTCAGGAACCCAACTGCTGTCCAGAAGAGATACCAGCTCCTCCCGAACCCTATACATAAACAACACAAAGTACACCACCAAGCTTTTAATGCTGAACCTTTCCCACATTTGCACTTTCCTGTGGCCTTCTTTCCAAGCAGAAAAGCCCCACAAACAAAAGGGGCAGCCAGCGTCAGAAGAACAGAAGAAAAAGGAAACAAAACGAGATGTAATCAAACACGAGGAGATAAACTGGTGACAGCAACAGCTTTTACTGAAGGAGCCCGGTCAGGCGCACGGCCACGGGCGAGCTGTGGGATCACAGCTGTTGATGTTTCCCACTCTCCTGCCTCTGTCTTTACAGGTCGACACGACCAGGCTTCGCGGCAGCGTTAGCGAGTCCTCCGCACCCCCCTCCAAAGCGGCAGCACACGCCGTGCCGGCGCTGCTCCGGCACCGGGTTCCCGTGTGGCACCGACGCGACTGCAGGGGCGGACAGAGGCGTCGAGCGGCCGCGGGTGCCACCT